CATCCCCATCCCCCCCCGGTTTATTTTTTTCCCCCCCCCCCCGCTTCTGAATCTACCATTAAATACTCCATGCAATCCCATTCGAAAGAATTCCACAAATCCAACCAATCATCTTGTTCAACGGAGAGATACTCGTCCTCCCGGGCTTAATGTCTCCGAAACTTGGCGGGGATGTTCTCTTCGATAATCGACTTTTTGTCCATTGCCTCTTGTGCTTCTTGCGCTCTCTCCAACTCTTCATGGTGCTTGAAATGCTCAATGTCCTCCGGGTGCGTTAGGTCCTCCAGTTTTGTATTCTCATCGTGATACTTTTCCCAGTGATGAATTTCATACTCGTACTCGTCGTCACCATGGTGGCCCGGCCCAGTACCCATATCAGGGAGCGTTTCGCCCCCGTCGATGAAGTCCTTGAACTCCTTACCCGAGACCTCCCCGTTGTGGTCCTTGTCCAGAAGACCCATGAGATGTTGCAGGACCTCTAGCTTCTTGTCGTGCGACATATCCCTATTCGAAGGGTCCATTAGGCCGTAGGTTCGCATGATTTCTTCGCCTTGCCAGGCACCGTCGGAGTTGTAGTCGTGGAGGACGAAGAAGGCGCCGGTATCCCACGAATCGATGTGGTGCTCCTCTGTATCCATTCGTGTCAGTCATTGAACTCTTCTTGTTGGGTCGCTAGACAGTCCGGAATGTCGATCTGGGTGAGAGTCGTGAGCTTGAGACATACCGGCCATGTGCTTCTCCATCCATGTGGCATCTTCACTGACCATGGGCTTCTGGCCGTGGTTGCCGTGGGCGTTGGCCAAGCCCGAGAGAGCAATTGCTAGTAATAACGGGGTGGTCTGCATGGTTTGTGCCTTGACAAGTGTGCAATTGCATTCAAGGGCATTCAATTGCTGGGGGCTGTGATGTACGATGGGTTGGTTAATGTAGATGCCATGAAAGGGGCCCGCCTTCGGTCGATTTGGCTTTTTAGCGGCGGTTGATAACCAACTTTGGAAACAGGCGCCGAATGCAGATTGCTGGCGACTCCGGCAGTTTTCAGCGCTGTGAGCAGGGATGGATGCCAACCAATCAGCGGCGAGAAGGTGGTTTTCAGCGTTCCATGTCTTGTGCTCCACGACGAAGCCCTGCGCATTCGTCACATAACCCAGCATGGAGGTGTGGAGTATGGAGATCCGTTATCGATAAACGTCGCGCAAACATGAATTTGGCTGATGGAGCTTCGCGGCTTCCTTTGGGATCATACCGCCACATGTCCCAGTGATACCCTTGATACCATTGATATCAGCACAACTGCTTGTTGTTGTTGTGGCTGCAAGAAAGAGCAAACTCACACTTGACTATACTCAGTTCCGGCTCAACTGGTTGTTTATTTGTGCACTTTGATCTCAGTTTTCTCACCTGAAACATTACGCCATTTTAGCAAGCTCACGCGTGGTGCTTCGCGTTGAGCCGCACAGCCAACATGAGTAGACAGATTGAGCAGGCATTGCTATCAATGATGCCGACATATGGCTCGGATTTACCACCCTCCCTTGTGGAATTGGCAGGATCACTGCTTGCCCAATCTCGACACCGGGCAAGCACACTGAAGGCAGAGGAAGAGATAGCTCGACAATATGCATGTGCCAACATAGCTTGTGATCGGTCAGTGTGGTACCGTATCAAATACCGCCATATACTTGCTGACACTCTTGTAGCCTTAAGATCACGCTTGATTTGCCACCTATTGAACCTCGTCCCCCGATTCCCCCGCGTATCTACAAACGGCTGTATACCCACCTGGACAATATCTTGCCCAATCCTGCAGCTACACCAAGGCCAACCCGTAATCAAACTCCAAGCTCCAAGAAACGTGACAAGGACACGCCATCGAAGTCGGAGACCCGCCGAGTACCATCAAGAGGAATTCCAACAAAGGAGGCAGCCCTGGCTCCTTTCCGTACGACACCAAAAAATGCTAAATCCCCCGCCAAAGGAAACAACCTCGACTCACAAAACTCAAATGGTCATCTACACCCTTGGATTCAACCAGTCATTCGATTCATGTGTGCCGAGTCGGATCACAAACGGCTTGCACCTACGGTTTTAGCTGGTATGGAGCATATCCTCACACAAGAGGGCCGCCCAACCCAAGACCAGTGGGTTATTCATCACGTAACCGACTTATTAGCAGCTGTGTACTTTTTCGTTATCATGCGTGTTCGATCAATCACATCTGGCGCCAATATTGACCGCGAGGGATATGTGCCGCTTCGAAAAGAGATTCTTGCTCTTGTAGCCAAGGCCAATCGAGAAGTTACAGTGCCCGATGTGGATGAATCCGACGCCTGGGAAGGCTGGAATGACCTCAAGCCTAGAGACTTTGATGCCGCTGTGGCCAAGGTCAATGAGAATGATTGGTTGTCTGGCGATTGGTATGAAGGGATTGTCGACGTGATTAGCTCTACTACAAGGACAGATGCAGATCTGTCAGATGATGGTGTAGAGAACTTGGAGGCTCTTCTGCCTACCCGGCGCGCGGACACAATGCTACAAGAACGATATGACTTGTTGAGCGAGGCTAGAAAATCAGACTATATTGCGTGGCGTGATGCCATGCTCGACAGGATTGCACAGGCAACGCCCGTAGAAGTCGCCATGGAGGCTGACACTTGATAGCACTTCATTTCCTCTTGAAGAGATACAAAATCCCAGCGAAGGTCTCACATTCTATTGTACTCTATTCTATTCTATCAAGTTGTATTGAATAGTCGACGATTTACAGGACCGTTCATTTTCAGCTAGGGACCCCTATTTAGGTATCCTTTGCCTTACAGGAGGCTTTTCTTCTCCTTCTTGGGTCTTCCGCCCTCATCAGTGCCACCTTCTGGGTGCCATTTTGAGGCTACAGACACGTTGGCGTTGTAGTTGGTAGTAATGTCGATTCCAACTGTGAGCCACAGCAAAAGACCGTCCTTAGCCTCGTCGCCAAGGTAAACATACTTCATGAATGGATCATAGTCTTCGGTCGCCTCATCACCAGTGAATTCATCCTGGCGATTGTCTGTGACCGCTTGCTGATTCCGTGTATACGGTTCATTTTTCTCAACTTCGGCAATGAGAGACTGGTCGAAGTAAACCTGTCCAATATGGGAAACAGTGCCACCTTCAAAAGTTCCGTTTGACAGGATAGTGGCATTATCAGTGGACATGACGTGGAAGTGGTTGGTTCGACCAATGTAGTGGCCTGGGAAGATTGTGCTAAACTGCACCACGCCGTCCTTGTCTGTCTGCTGAATGCCACGGCCGAAGTTGGTTTTCAAACCACCTTGGAATTCTGCCGTTACGCCAGAATAGACACCAGTGGCGTTGGCGTGCCACAGGTCAATAATGAGGTTAGGAACTGCCTCGCACGTATTGATGTCAATGAACTGGAAATCCAAGTGTGAAGCAACACCTGGTTCTCCATCAGTAACATCTGTCCGGAAAGATTCGCCCTCAACATAGTATGGACCAATAATAGTTTCCGGGACAAGAATGCAACTCGCGTTGGAGCCAAAGAGGACATCGAAAGGAGTCTCAAGGTTATATCCCTTGGAAGTCTCGTTATGGGAAAGAGTAAGATACTTCTCGAGCTCCTTGGGACCTCGACGCTCAGCGTCTTTTTACATGTTTGCGTTAGTACATCGTGCAACAAACAGAAGTCGAGAATTGTAACTTACGAGTCTTGAGTCCTCTCTTCACACGCAGCTCATCAGCCCAAGCAGCGCGACGGGCTACAGCTCGTTCCTTGAGGGCAATGGCGGCAGGTGAATCAGCACAGTTGGCAAGGCTTCGCTTGGAGTGTGCTGCGATGCGACGAAGAGTTGCGGCTTGTGCTTTGCGCTCTTCTTCAGTCTCAGGATGGCCATATACGACGGCTGAGAAAGCCAAGGCCGCAGTGAGGGAGGGCAAAATCATGTTTGTCTTGACACAGTGGGAATGCGATTTACTGTTCTCGATTGGTTTGTATTATTAATGGTGACGGACGAGGGAATTTCATCCGGGGGTTCCTCGCCTTGCCTTTATACTTGGCGCAGCTGGTCAACCGGCTCTCTTACACACTGAGGCATCAAGAAATTACTACCAAGTCTCCATCGGACCCCATTAATTGTTCCCGTTATGCTTTCATCACTGGCGATTTGTCGATGCGTCTCATCTATGCATAATTGCGACATTTGCAATGTTCCTCTCGGCAACTGCTGGTCCCTTCTTGTTCGGAATGACACCGGAAACTGCGCCATGAACCTCTTCCTGCATGGAACGTGCGGTGTTACAAATGCCAACGTGATGTTCGTCCAAGGTAGCATCTGCTGTGGAATAGGACCCGGAGTCACTACCCCATTAGGGTGTCTCCCAAGTCACAGCCAAGATCCAATGAAAGAAGCTTGAGCAGGTTTGTGAGTAATTCAACCAAGGAACTTGTCGTTGTTCCTAGTCCGTGCGAACCCAATGACCCCAAACACCGAGTGGGATGGGAGGTCAAAAAAGAAAAAAAAACCTGTTCCAGACAACCAGAGTTTACTTGCGACATATTCGTAAGCCTCACATACATACATACATGCTAAGGATTTAACGCGGAGGCTGATGGTCCCCTTGTGGAGTCGGGTTACATGGTTGGACGTTTTGACCTTAAAACACCCCGGTGTCGTTTCGCGAAGGCTCAGCTTGCAAATCGGAACGGGGGTGAATTTGGTCAAGCAGATTGGCGCAATCATGACTGGCCGGCGTTGGTCTCGGCTTTTCTCCTGTTGGCATCATTTGCTGGACGCATTCAATGCTCACCTCTGACAGCGGGACTTGGCCCAGGGATGCATGGTTTGTCAAATGCCGATCTCTGGATCTGCCCAGTTCATGCGTAGATACGAATTGTTCTTGATGGGGGACTCAAGACGAAAATTGGCATCTTTCCACAATAGCTTGGTTCTAGGATTCCGAGACGTATCAGGAAAATTATGCACGGCACGTGCCAAAAACGAAGGTCGAGAATCACACCTTCCAAACTAAATACCAGACTATATCTCCAGACATGAGAAAAAATTATTCTGCTACATCCTCCGAGTTACATGGTCGACGATATTCTAGCTCAACTTTCCCGGAACAAATGGATGTCCGGCGCTCAATCCGCCACAGACAGCCCAAGCCTGGCCATTCACATAGCTGCTCTCGTCACTGCCCAGGAACAGAGCCACCCGCGCAATCTCGTCTGGTTGGCCGCCTCTTCTCGTAGGGTTCAACTGCCCAATCTTCTTCTCGTTGCCCCTCGCCCTGGCGGCCTGGTACACGGGGGCCGTCATGCCCGTCTCGGTGAGACCGGGGCAAATAGCATTAACGCGGACCCCCGTACCAGCGAGCTGGTAAGCGATAGTCTGAACGAGAGAGACGACGGCCGCTTTGGAGGCTGAGTAGGGGGTTGATCCGGCGTTGGAGCGGATTCCGGCGACGGAAGCGGTTCCGACGATGGACCCGCCTGATATAGGCTTGGATGCTGATGTTTTCATCATGGCAGGCGCAGCATATTTTGCTGCCAGGAAGACGCTATGCCTTGGTATTAGCACGTGTTGTGGATTCTGCGTTTTGCGATTTATGGTTCTGAAACTTGATTCCGTGCCGGCATGAAAAGAAACCGGTACAGGCATAAGGTTAACACTGGGGGGCCGGGGGGGTTCGGTGAGGGTTTTTTGGTCCCTTTCTTTACCTAAGAGTGTTTGTCTTGAGAACCTCCATAAAATCAGAGTCTTTGAACTCGGTGAAGACGACATTCCGACCCGTGATGCCGGCATTGGCAAAGAACACATCCAGACGGCCGTATCGATCAAGAGCGTCATCTACTACGGCCTTGACCTTGGCCTCGTCTGCGGCGTCAAACTGCCAAATGTGGACATCGACCGCCGGATACAGGGCCGTAATCTCCTGCTTGTGCGCGGCGAGGTTGGAGTCGGCGTAGTCGCAAATGTAGACTGCCTTGGCGCCATTCTCTGCAAATTGGTGGGCCGTTGCGCGACCAATACCCAGAGCCGAATTTACTCCTGGGCAACCGGGGTTGGTTGGACGTTAGCCCGGGTTCCCCATTGCAGGATGAGACGGTGTGGGTGATGCGTGCGGATCACGGTGGATCGTACCTGTGATGATGACGACCTTGCCTTCAGCTCGAGGGCCGTTGGACTTGCCGGCCACCTTGATGATTGGTGGGAGGCCCCTTGGTGACGGCTCAAGCTGCTGGCCGATGGCATTGATTCTTTTTTGAGCTTGGTCTGCCATTGCGTTTAGCGTGTGCCAAAGATGCCGTGACTCGTGAGTGAGTGAGTGTGTGTGTGGCTCCTGGTCACGAAATAGCTATTTGATATGCGGCGGCGGCCACGGCTGCTTGAGAGATGGTGGTGAATGGCGAGGGCGGTAAGAACCGATGTTTCGGATGTCTTTGCTCTTTTGCGAGGCATACAATGACTAGCTGCGGGGGAGGCTCCAACAAGAGTGCAAGATGTGTTTTCTTTTTTATGAGCTGCGGCTCGGTTGCGAAGGCTCAAGACGTGGGCAGCTTGGGGATCCGGGGCCGAGGTTCGAGGATGTTTGTGCTGGCGTCTTACTGGACCGGGTCCTTGTTGGTGGACGAGAGAGGAATGGCTGGGGGTCACATACGGGCCCCACTGCGGCCGAATCCGACTCTGGGGATGCTGGATTGAGACATTGATATAAGTTAGTATTTTAAAAAAAAAAGAAGAAAAAAAGGCCGCCGAGCGGATAATCATCTAAAGCATCTGTGCAGCGCCGAGTAATACATGTCATGCGATGACGAGCAGACTCTCCTGAGCTCCTAGTATATTCTGGTCAAACTGCCGTAGCTGGTTACATCGGAAACAAACGGTCGTCCCCTTTGGTTGGTTACTTGTTGCATCCTCACTAAACGAAACCAAACAAAACAACAGCCCGTGTTCAAGGCACTCCATCCACTTATGAATCGGTTTCTCGTACGGAAATCCATCTCGCCTTTGAAGTTAAAATTTTTTTATGTATAATATTCGTACCTAGTATGTAACGTGCGTGCACCAATGAACGGGCAACTGCTGCCAGCTGACGCCTTTGGATTTTTCGCGATTCCCTTCATGGCCATGGCACATGGCACCTTCCGTGTCTTCTTGCGCATTGGATAATATTTCGCCAGGAAGAATATGTAACTTGACCCCTCTCACGGAATTTTTTTTTAAATCATCATCGACTGCGAAGACGCCTCTGAATTTAAAAGTTAATTCGTACCCAGCTACTCATAAACTGACAAGGTTCTGCGTTACACACCCTTGGCCATGCCACTCTACATACGGTCCTCTCGTTCCTTGTGTCCTTTGCAGCTTTACCATTGGCAGCTACGGCACCGATCCCGCTGTCGCCTGGGCCAGTCAATTCTGAATCTGTAAGTGTTGATGGTGTGCTTCCCGTTATGAACAAGCTGGCCTAATCTTAGTAGTGTACAGAGGACAAGCCGGTGTCGAGATCAGCGGCGTCAGGTTCTATGATCCCCTTGATTCTAGTAACTTCAAGGCACCCCTACATTGCGAATGTCGTTGGGATGATCAGGGGCCGCATGCGGCGGAAAGCGTGCACATCGGCGTGCTTGGCCAAGCTCCGGTCAACCATCTACACGGCTTCCCATTGCAAGAGCCCTGCTGGTCTCTGTTGGGCCAGACCTCTTGTCCTCAAACAGTATCGGTAGATCGTTTTTTTGACCTTCACAAATCACTGACTTTCCCACATGAAGATATCTTTTGGAATTGGGATCTGAATTCTGGTTTTCATGATGGCGGTTTTATTAGTGCAAACCACGAAGACCACTATCCCTGGGAGGGCAATTTCGAATATCTTGCTAGAGATTCCAAACTATCGCACACCGCTAGTAAAGATCCCTATAGCGTTTCGGAGATCAAGAAGCTTCTTACCCAGAAGACAAGGCCTCCGAAATGGGATAGCAGACCAATTCCATACCGCAAGCCCACTACAAACGATTGCTTTACCCTTCTTCCTGAGACGCTGTGCCTCGCCATTGCGTCCTTGTTGCCGACGGTAGATGTCTTCAGGGCTCGCCGAGCCTCTCGAGGCTTTATTTCGGCATACTACAACAACCGTTTCTGGAGGTCTAGAATTTCGGCAACCGGCGAACGCTTTTGGCTCTTTGAGTCGCAGAAATGGGATCACAGTTTGAACTGGCTGAGTATATATCGTCGTACAAATAGAGCACAGTGTAGCCCAGGCCTGCGAAATAGGGCAAGAATTATGAATCTAAACCAGCAGGTCTTGGAAGTTCTATCATCAAAATGGAACGAGGCACCAAGTTTACCTCCATCAAGTTTACCTCCACCGTACCAGGGGGCTGCGAAATGGCTCGAGGCCAGTGCCAACCAGAACGAAAGCCTTCTCATGGCCGGGTTCGCCAAATGCTGTCGCCAAGTCCGCGAAGTAGAAGCAGGATTGCCAGTTGCGCCTTATCAGTTGGCAATCTCTACTACACGGCTTGAAGATGTCCGCTATATAGCTGGCATCCGAATACTACGTCGAGGGTCGGAGATGCGTGTCTGAGTCTCAGCACGCTGGGAGAAGAGATATATCTGAATATTACAAAACCTATTTTGGGCTTCAATTTGGCGGCAGGAGCTACTGGTACTCAAGGTATACAATGTGTGATGAAGAATGGGAAAACATCGAGATTGATCGAGAACCTAGATGGCCTCCTGAAGACGCAGCGACTCGCAGTGTCTACCTCGGTAAAATCTATCAAAGCCGGATTTGACATACGTTCTCGTGTCCGCCTTCTCTCTGCCTTCTTGGTTAAGTCAGCCAGAAGAACTCTAACTAGATTTCTACAGAGCTTCAAAATGGTCAGCCTGGCAACCACGGAGCACAGCGGCCCTCTTTCCGGAGAAGAAGCTACTGGCAAGATCTCAGTGAGGCATTCAGCTTTTTGGTACCCTCGAATGCCAACCAACGACTTAGATCTTGACGACGATTGTTTCACGGCAGCAGAATCATGCAGTACTCCGTGGCATCGGATTTCACTATGCAATACATACCCCAAAAGCTATGGGAAGAGTAGGAAAATGCAAGGCTGGGCCGAGAGATAGCGTCATGTACTTTTCTAGTGATGGGCCTGGTGGGGAAATAATCGACACCATCGAAGTATTTCTTCAACCTCGCAGTAACGATAAGATGAGAATGGTCTACATGGGGGACGTGCTCGTAGCTTTCAGTGCAAGCTTCGTCGTTCGGCAGTATCGCTTCAGAAGGGAAACTTGAGGCTAATATCTTCTCAATGTACAGATGTCGACAAATCGCAAACGAACGTTTCACTTTAAATTAGAGGAAAGCAACATGGGGGACCAAATTTTGAAGCGATTAATCGCTGTTTCGCCAGGGTCTACTATGACTGGTCTATACTGGAGTCAGGTACGTACAAATATGGACGGCTTTTTGTTCAACGGTGGATGTTGCTAACATGTCTGAAGCATTTGGGCAATATTGCGGCTCTGGGCGCCATCTCGGGAAATTCGTCGATATTAACACAAGTTTTTCGCAATAATTTTGACCTGACCCCCAAAACGCAAACCCCACGATGGGAGCGTGGGGAAGAACTAGCTAGATGGTGCTGAGGGAGGTTAACATCGGTGCGACCTTATCTCCACCGCCGGACATAAGGGTGCTAAATGGATATTGACGTCAAGGCTTAGAAATGGCTCTCGTTTGGGGGGGGGGGGGGGGTTTATAAATATG